GTGTGTGTGTGTGTGTGTGTTTGTAAAAACTGCAGCGGGGGTGCATATTCAGAGAGTGAGTGAGGTTAGCTGATGTGATGATGGTGATGCTGTAGCGCACTTGCTACAATTGTACTTACACATACATACATATGTATGTATGCATGCAGCAGATATGCGAGCATATTCTTCAGTGATCTTCAATGATCGTTGCGAGGGGACATAATTCATATAGGGATGTTGTTGTTGTGTTTATGTTATGACATACATACTTAGGCAGATAACTGTGTAATAATAATCTAGTGTTTTTAAGTGCAGTATATATGCTGCTGGCTTGTACACCCTCGCTCTGTGCAGCGAGCATAAAGGCAAGATATTGCTTATGCTTGGGAGCCCAAAGAAAAAATGAAACATACTTTAGCAAGGAAGGGAGTCTAAGCATAGGCAGGCATACCCAGTAGGAAAACATAAACTGTCTAAATAAATATCGAGCAGGCTGCCAAGCGAACCCTACAAAGCTTCGTTAGAGAGGAATTTGTCCAGATGACAACAACATCTTCATTCAAGGTTGGCAACCTGCATTGGTACTCAGACGGCTCGAAAACTTTAGAAGGAATTGTGAAAGGAATCTGCGGTACCACCACAAAGATGCCTTGTCTTATTCATATGGGAAAATATTCGAGCATGTTTCAGGCAGAAGTTTACGACATCAAGCTGTGTAGAATTACGTAAGACTTACGGGAATGAGTGGGTTCTGATTCTGAAGTGATAGTCAAACAGCGGCCATTGCTCTCTCATCATGCGAAACCGAGTCATCATATAGCAGGGGTACCAGACCACAAAGAAACACAGGAAAACGAGGTGCCGAAGCCTTACCTTGGTATATGGTCATATACTATTAAGAAGAGCTTAGAAGAAAACACATGGAGAGGACTTAATTGGCAAAGCTCAGTAGGGTTGCACCAGACAAAAGATTCATGGGTGGGTATAACATGAAGGGATTCCAATATTTGAATCAGCCTTCCAAAGGAGAAACTTAAAATACTAACAGATGTCCGTACAGTATACCGTAGACTGTAAACTAAGAGGGCATCTGAATAAGCTGTAGATTTGGTCGAGTGTCGGCTTTGTGACTCAACCAGAGAGACACCATCATATGTATATTCTCTTTAAGTGTATCGTCACTGAACTTTGAAGCATATCGCTAAGGGGCAACAACATCAGATACAAATCGTACCGCACCGGCGATAACGGTAGTACGTACTTAATGGGCCTCATGCATAAAAAGTGAGCTTAAGCTCCGACTCGATTTTCAGTACAAATTCTTGAGCTTGAGCTCACCCTTTCAGTGCAAAAATTGAGTCTGAGCTTAAGCTCACTTTTTATGCATAAGGCCCAATGTTTCCGCAGAACTTGAGAAAATGTCAAAGCGATCAAAGATTTATCCTTTACTTCTAATATAACTGAATTTATCCTCTTTTTTACATTGCAAATTCCTACAAAGACGAAGTCAGCTGCGAGTGACACAAATTTTGTTCGAGTGATTCGGTATGCAGGTTTTCTCGTCATAATTCCCTTGTACTTGTAGAATTTTCTACAGGGTGCATATGAGCATCTTGTCCTAAGTGATTGCATATGTACAAACATACAAACATACATACATACATATGTATCGGCACACTCATTGCAGCTGATCCATAGCACTTTTCACAGCATTTTTCATTCATGCATCCATGCAATGTGGTCGGTATGTTGATTTTATTGAGAAATAATCAGCCCTTTTTTTAATTCATTTTGTTTTTAATTACTCTCATCCACTCGTAAAATAATCATCAATTGTAATAAAAATTGTGATGTTCGCATCTTCTTTATTGATCATGTTTTGGTAATTAAATTTTGTTTAATTTCAATGTTAAAATGCATTCAAAGAAGTGGCGTTAAGTTATTGAACGGAAATGCATGTTTCCTCAGGCTGTTGAAAAGTACCTCGTACTGAGTTATTTTTTCTGTTTTTTTTTATAATTACTCATTACTTTGGAATGATAATTGAATTAGGCATTTTTGTATGTATGTACATAAGTAACTTTGAAAGATTTCTCGCAATTTAAAAAGCTCTATCCTTATCATTTTTCCTGTTCGGGCGCAAACCAAAATATTCCCTAGATTGTTATGCCTATTTATATTTAAGTGCCAAATCAAGGACATTTTTTATTTTGGTTTATAGTAGGCGAGAGTTTAAGGGCCAGTTTTTCGGTGACAGTTTAAACTTAGATTAAGTAAACTGAGTTTAAATTGAACAGCTGGCCGACATCTGATTTAAACTAGCCAGATCGGCCGTTTAAACTTAGTTTAAACCACGGCTGTGTACTGAAAAACTTGCCCTAAGAGCTGCTCCTTTTGAAAAGCCCTACTATTTCAGGCACTTAAAAGAGCTGAGAATGTCAGTTACCAGATTTCTATCTCTACATTTGAGGTTATTAGTCCTGATAACAAAGGTAATTTTTTGGGCTTTCTTATTTAATTGGAATGACTTTAGACACCTCTTGAGTGTTGATATGGCGAGCTCTGCCATCCAATAGGCTTTTCAATGCCAACTTCATACAAGGGGCCACTCTTAAAGGCCCCTTGTGATATATAGTAAGTAGCACACTGCATCCCAGATGCTTAAATTCTAACTTTGCGAAAGCATAGCGGCTATGGATGAGAAGCTGACTGGACAATTGTCCTAGCAGGGAGTTAAAGTTGTCTAGATCCCCAGCTCATGAATTTCTATCAGAAAATAGCCTGTAAAAATACCAATCGCAACTGTACATGACTTTAGTAATCAACGTGGTCTTCACACTCTCTTTGCTGACAAAATCGTCAGCTATAAAGTTTCTGCAAAAACACTATATTCTGGCATTTACACAAATAATCTTCAATCGGAGTATCAAGATCCGAGTGAAAGGGATGTCAGACAATGTCCAACTCGTTCCGAATCCTCAATGAATGAATGAAGCAATAAATCAGTTGCCTGTGAGAATCAAAATATTTGTTTGATAGAGATGCCATTGGCATCCAATATTGCCCTATCCGTGAAAATATGCATAGAAGCCCGACTCCTTAAGGTATTAAGATTCTATTGTGGTTGCAGGAGTGTTCAACCCCAGGATGCCTCGCCAAGTGGCGTCCTCTGCAACTTTTGGCACGACAAGACTGTGGCCTAGAGAGAGCATGTGAGGTCTACGTTCGCAGCGCTAAGTGCTTCCGGTGTCAGACTAGTCGGGTTGGAGGTCCATGCATAGATGTGTTGACTGTTATAAGGACCGTGACCGCATTCTGGGCAGGTGTTCCATACTTCCGAGTTCAGTCGATGGTGGAAGGTATTAAGTGTCTGACACCACATAGAACGGATCTGTGGTAGGCTGCACCGAGTCCACCGCGGCAGTTCTTCTTTCTCTATGCCGTCGACCACCTAGCATAATGTTGTCGTTGAGAGTGCTAAGACTCGTCTTGATAGGATTGAAGGCTCACTTTGTCAGCTCCCGCAGACGCTGCTGGCTAGCGACTTGGACCATAGGTCGCTCTAGGTGGCGGAGCGGAGCTGAGAAGGAGGAAATTAAATTGGACGTGACTTCCAAGATCAATTGGTATTTTTACGCCGACGTGGTGAAAAGGGTGTCGGTGGATTTCGCGGTAGACGTATTGAGTTTTCTGGCAGTGAAGAAATTGGAAATATTGGGGAGATAATAAGATGCATATTTTACAGGAAAGGCTGTAAATATTTGGGCCCGACGCCATAGCTCACACAGCTCACACTGTGTGCATATGATTTATCTCAGGAACGTAGTTGATGTCTCAGTAGCGTAGTTGACGTAGCATGCTGCCACGCATTCCGTCCCTCTCTGGAAACACATTATATTGCAGGCTAAAGTATGACGCGCATAACCGCGAGTCCGACGACGACGGTTACTCCCAAAATGCGGCCATCTCTCTTTAATACCAGAATTTTACGAGACATACATCCGATAGATATAAATTTCCGAATAATTGGCGGGGGTTAGTAATGTATGTGATCTTCTCTTAGCCATAAATGTCCTATTTAGCGACATAGATAGCTTGACTAGATCCCTAGCTTGTGTAAGTGGCCTCTTAGCCTACAATGATCTGTCAAAATACCTGTAGTCATTCTTTGGCTCTTTTTTGGGGAGATTTATAAGTATACTTACCTCTTTAGCTTTCACCCTCCTAGAAAGCTCTTAGCTTAAGGGAGACCCATGGTCTTTTGCCAGTGCAGTTCGCTCAGTATTTTCTCTTGTAAGCATTTCCGTTATAGTGATACGGTTAGGTCAGGCAGCAGTCATTCTGGTTAACTGATCAGCATCCACATTTCCTTCGACTTCCATGTGCCCTGTCACCCATATCACCCATATGGATAGTATTGTTCTCAGCCAGGGCATTAAGTTTCTCTATATACTCCCAAGACCATTGAGGATTTGACTATCACTTGATATAAGGATCCTCTCACATCGATAATTCCTACGAAGACTAATGGCATAGACTTCCGCTTAGAAGACGCACGGGAAGGTTCTCAAGGATACTGAAAGCTTCAGTCTAGGGTCACATATGCCTGCTCAATATCCGCAGGGGTCTATGCATATAGTCTCTGGGGAACAGAGTGGGATCTGGGAGCCTAGTTTGTAAATGTTCCTAGCGGGTAAGACTTTACTTAAGCCAATGGCCTCTGTAGCAAAATTTGGAAGAGTTTGCAGCCTGTTCTACTGTCAGATACAGCGGCTCCAGTTCAAGAATTGCCTCCAGCGCTGTCGTCGTAGATGTGCGAGATAAGACCCAGATACTTCACTTCAGAGACGATGTTGACCGCGACCCCATTCAAGGCTAAGTCCCTTCTTGGCTTCGATGTACATATGATGCACATTGCATGTTCCAATGCTTTTTGTGATTATTTTTCTCGCATAATTTTAGCTAAACGGATTGTTATTACTTTCGGAGACTTCACGAAAATTGAGCCTGCGATGAATTGATGCAATAGCCTTGCATGCCCTAGTGCCTTTGAAGCACCGGGTTCAATTTGTTAACCATTGTGAATGATTTGCTTCTGGCAATCAGCTGTTTATTGTATTTCTTTCAAGTCCGCAGGCTGGGCAGTATAAAATACTTGAGTTTTTCGTGGCATTTTTAAACAGATTAAACCAAAAATTGCAATTTTGTCCATATGAAAATGCACAGGAAATGATATATGTACGTAATTTAAAAATATTAAGATTTATAAAATGACATAGCCACGCAGAAGATTATGGATGCAGTGTGGGGTAGTTAAGAATTACTACGTGGAATTTTAAATACATCACTATAAAAAAAATACAAAAAAAAACAGCTAAATAGTAGCACAAAACTAGAATAAAAACAAAGACAAAATGAGCATGGATGAAAAACTGAAATATTCGCTTTTGCGCGGCGAACTGGTGGATAATCAAAGCGTTTGGACAAGGTACATGAAGTATTTGATGCAAATCTACTATGCACCATACTATTATTTTTCTTTTACATACGCAGGCATGAAAAACGCGTTTGGTTCCTCACACTCATCACAGGCACATGCATGCTCTATTCGACACGCACATCTATGCCACTACTCATACCCGCCGTTGCAGCCGAGCAGAAGTGGAGTAAAACTGATTCGGGCACTGTACTCAGCTCTTTCTTTTGGGGTTATACGTTGACTCAGGTGTTTTTTTTTGTTTGTACACAAAAGATTTGGCTACATTTTCTTTAACACAACTTACCAAATTTTTCGTTTATTTTCAGGTAGTAGGCGGCTACTTCAGTGATCGTTTTGGTGGTCAACGTGTTATACTCTTTGCGGCGATTGGCTGGTCTTTGATTACATTCTTCATGCCAAATATCATATGGAGTTCAACGGCGATTAAAGCATATTCCATTCCTTTTATTGTAACGATACGTATTATAAATGGCGCATTCCAGGGTGTACACTTCCCAAGCATGATTAGTCTCACAAGTCAGGTGAGTGTGTGTTGGTTCCAATTATATTGATTTTCATTATTATTTTGTCCTCTTCCAACAGAATCTTAGCTCAAATGAACGCACAAGTTTCTTTGGTCTACTCACTGCCGGCTCCGCTCTGGGCACACTGCTTACAGGCAGTCTTGGTTCATTTGTATTAGATTATTTTGGTTGGCCCTATGTGTTTCGTGTTATTGGCTTTTTGGGCATAGCTTGGGCGTTAATGTTGCGCTACTATACCATGGCTGGTGAGCGCGGACGCATCATCAATGTATCTGCCCCATCACG